CAAACACACACAAACACACACACACAAACACACACACACATCCACAACAGCCAAACACACACACGCATCCACACCAATCAAACACACACACACCTCCACACCAACCAAACACACCCACGCATCCACACCAATCAAACACACCCACACATCCACACCAACCAAACACACACATGCACATAATCCATCATCCAAATATTTCCATCCTTCTGTTCCCAAACTGGGCCACACCCCCTCGACGCCCACTAAACCCAGCCATTCTGCCAACAGCAGCAAACCAACACACAACACCAACACGAGCAGGCCAACACCGTTCACCAACAGCAGCAGACCAACACAATCAACTAACACACACAATCCAACACAATCAACACACTCCAGCAAACCCACACAAACCAGCAGCACAACCAAACACACACACCCCGCACTAATGACCAAGCCCAGCCCCAGTCTGAGCACTGGACTGTCACTCAGCTGGAAGGCTCCCCCTCTGGTCACGCCCCCTCTGAGGCCGGACCGCCCACAGGACTCTGTGCACGCGAAGGCGGTCAGGGCGCATCCGCATGAAGCACACAAGGACTGCTTATACTGATCAGCGGAGGGGTGTAACGGCACTTGATGTAATCTCCTGTTTGGACTGTGTTTCTCTTCCTGTGTGGAGCCGCCGGGCCGCTCTGTGCTCAGCCTCTGCTGTTCTCTGTCTGCCGGTCCTCCTCCTCCTGCTAGCGTGGTCAACATGTAGCTCGTAGCTCCTCAGTGCCTGTCCGTAACTGTGAAAGATGGACTGCGCGGAGAAACACACACTAGCGGCTCCTGGATGATCTATTTTCAGTGTTGGGCTCAGTGCTGTTAGAGCTGACGTCCACATCTCTATTTTTTGTAAGAGGACACAGAGTTAAAGACTGTACAGGCTGACCCATAGAGCTTATTTATATCAGGTTTCTTTGGTTCTGTTGTACTCGTCAGCACTGTAGTGTACAGAACGGTTTTCTAAAGCAGACATGTCCTGTGATTTATACTGAAAGAGCCTCCTAATAAAGGGTTCACTTTGAGTGTCTGTCTGCTCCCCTGATCTGAGTCTGCATGAGGTGAAGATGCTGAGGAGAGGAGAGGAGAGGAGAGGTGTCAGGACCTGCAGACCGTCCCGTCCTCAGTGTGAGTCTCCACAGATCAGTCTCACACAGGCCTGCAGAGCGCCACTCTCTCCTGCACTGCTGCTCATGGTGAGAGTCCATCTGACTGACCCCCGTTCCCCTCCGACCTCTGACACTGACCCCCCCCACCGTTCACCTCCAACCTCTCAGACACTGACCCCCCCACCGTTCACCTCCGACCTCTCAGACACTGACCCCCCCACCGTTCACCTCTGACCTCTCAGACACTGACCCCCCCCACCGTTCACCTCCGACCTCTCAGACACTGACCCCCCCACCGTTCACCTCCGACCTCTCAGACACTGACCCCCCCACCGTTCACCTCTGACCTCTCAGACACTGACCCCCCCACCGTTCACCTCCGACCTCTCAGACCTCTCAGACACTGACCCCCCCACCGTTCACCTCTGACCTCTCAGACACTGACCCCCCCCACCGTTCACCTCTGACCTCTCAGACACTGACCCCCCCACCGTTCACCTCTGACCTCTCAGACACTGACCCCCCCCACCGTTCACCTCTGACCTCTCAGACACTGACCCCCCCCACCGTTCACCTCTGACCTCTCAGACACTGACCCCCCCACCGTTCACCTCTGACCTCAGACACTGACCCCCCCCACCGTTCACCTCTGACCTCAGACACTGACCCCCCCACCGTTCACCTCTGACCTCTCAGACACTGACCCCCCCACCGTTCACCTCTGACCTCTCAGACACTGACCCCCCCACCGTTCACCTCCGACCTCTCAGACACTGACCCCCCCACCGTTCACCTCTGACCTCTCAGACACTGACCCCCCCACCGTTCACCTCTGACCTCTCAGACACTGACCCCCCCCACCGTTC